ATTTTATAATATCTTCAAATTTATATTTCATTCAAATATAAAAACATTTTTTTTCTCAAAACCACATAAAATCGCATTATAACATCGATAGACCCAAAATATGAAATGAAAGATTAGAATCAAAATGTACATCGCTGCATTGCGCGAGTACCCTTCTAGTATTATTAAACCGAAAAAAATAATAATTAAGTATTTTATTAGAACTCAATGATTATTCTAATTTTTTTTTTGATTTTTTATATTTAAAAAAAAAGATTATATCATCTATTTGATTATATTTATTTGCAGTTAGTTACATAAATTCAAACACGAAACTTTAATAGGTTGTACTTATGCACAATTTGCTTATAATATTGAATTTTAAGTAATATACATTAATAAACAGTACTTCATGCATAAAAAATAGTTTTCATGAATTTTGTCAAATACTTTATAATATGGTATAGAAATATAGCTTGGATATTTTTTTCTTTTAATTTTAAAAAAAATTAGATTTATCTCAGTTATTCTTTTCGTTTTAAAGATTACAGTTTTAATTATATTATTAAAATATTCAATACAATTAATAAAATAATATTTTCTCTTCCTTAAACATATAATTTTAATATTTCCCACCGATAAAAAGAATAAAAAGATTTCCATATTTAAAGAATTTCATACTTTCTTTTCTACTTTCTCCATTTTGAAGAAAATTTTGAAAACTTTGTTGAATAAAAAATCTTCAAAACACCCATTTTGAAGAATTTACTGGAATAACTCTTACAACCAGTGTTATAACTTTTAGCAGGGTTTATGTAAGATTCTGTTCTTTACACAACAACTCTATAAAATTAATCTGTTGAATGGTTGGATATTATGATTTTCAAAAAATTTAATCGTTATTGTAAGATTGAGTTAAGAGGCCTTCGGGTTTAAATTCCATAAATACAGAGTAAGAATCTTTTAAGAATTATGTTTATATCTGATCTGCATTAATTAAATGATTTGTATTTAAATCTCTTTCATCATATTTATTAATAAAATACTTAAAAGTTTATTCTATCCTAAAAAAAAAATCATATAAACCTTGTTAACAATATATACATTTTCAGATACCATAAATATTAAAAACAATCATTTTTTCAGATACCATATAAAATCAAAAATAAAAACTAAACAATAAAATGAAACAGATATATCAAAGAAATACTTGCATTTTACAAAAAAAAATACTTATATTTAAAAAAGATTATTAATGAAATTTATTTTAATTAAACATAAAGAATATTCTGTCACTGATTTTTCAAATTAAAAAATAAAAAATATTTAAAAAGATTATTGATTAAATTTATTTTAATTAAATTAAAAGAAGTTCCGTTAGTGATTTTCCAAATTAAAGAAGTAGAAAATAATTTGATTAAATTACTGACGGATACGATAAAATTGACTAAATACATAACTAATTAAAATCTGTCGCTAGTGTTTATTGGTATATATGCATGAATTACTTACATCTAATTAATGGCTAATTTGACTACGGTTATGTGCTCTAACACAGCAACATGTTAATAAACATGAAAGATCGTGCTTGAATCTTGTCGGTCATATCATTTCACCGACGAATTATCGACGAATTTTAATTAATTATGTATTTAGTTTAATTTTATCGTTAGTCTGTCGGTAATTTAATCAGATTATTTTTCTATTTTTTTAATTTGAAAAATCGTCAAAAAATATATTTTATTTTTAATTAAAAATAAATTTCATATGTAATCCTTTTTAAATCTTCTTTTATTTTTTTAATTTAAAAAATCACAAACAAAATATATTTTATTTTTAATTAAAATAAATGTAATCAATAATCTTTTTTAAATGTAAGTATTTTTTTATAAATGTAAGTATCTTTTTGATATATTTGTTTCATTTTATAGATGTAAACATTTTTTTTCTCAAAAAATATGTAGGGACTTAATCATTCAAAATATGAAAGTCTATTAGTTTTTTGTTCAAATTTTTTCCATTACTTTATCACATTAACCAGTTATATAGATCATAAGAATGTATTTAATAGGTTTTAGAAAGTCCAAAGAGTTATTTAACATGTTTTGGACTGTCCAATGATTTATTTGTTCCAAAAAATTGTCCAAGGTTTTAATCATTCCAAACACTAAAGTCCATTGAGTTTTTTTAAACTTTTTCCTTTTTTTACAACTTATTTAATTTAATTTTTTATTATAATTTAATTTAAGTCTAATAACGAAGTAATTTATTTTTGGCTTAACAATATAATTTTTATAAAAATCATTTAGAACTCAATTATTATTCTTATTATATTTTAGATTTTTTATATTTAAAATGAGATGTTTATCCTATATTTTATTATGTTTATCCACAGTTAGTTACACAAATTCAAACATGGAGCTTTAATAATCGATACTTACGTATAATTTACTTGTAATCTTGAATTTTAAGTAATATATATTAATAAACAGTACTCCATCCATAAAAAATAATTTTTAAAAGTTGTTGTTAAATCCTTTATAATATAATATAAATAAACAAAATTTTCAATTACAAGATGACTTTTTAAATATTTAATTAATTATAAACCACAATATTTAATTATATTTTAATATCAATTTTTAGATCAAAAAGCATTTAATTTTGTTTTATATTTAGAAATATCTTAAAAGGCGAATAATTTCCTTATTAGTAATTAATATTAAAATAAAAAAAAGCATTTAATTTTGTTTTATATATGAGGTTTTAAAAGGCAAATAATTTGGTTATAAGTAATTAATATTAAAATATTTGGTGGTATTAATTGTTGGAGGATGATAGTCAAGTTTTAAATGTGCAATTAATAATTATTGGTAAGTTTATGGGAGAGATTTTATACATATAATTTTCAATTTATTATTATAAAATATTATATTATATTATTATAAAATATATTAAAAAAATTGGACAATAATAGGTTTAATTCACAAAATCAAGCATTTTTGGATGGATGCAGAATGCTATACACACGGCCATCTGTATGTATATGTAGAGAGAGAAAATTGATGGAGTGAGAGAGAGAGAGAAGTAGCAGAGGTTTTGAGCTTAGCTGCAGTCAACGTGCCCCACCGTACCGGATCTTTGACAACCCTCTTCACGATCACCGGACAGCCTTATTTGCCGGTCACGATCTCTACCGGCGGCAAAGATCACAAGCTTCCTCCTTTTGATGTTGATTCTCATCCGCATTTCATGAATGTCAGAGGGTTTTGAGACTCTGCAACACAAACTCTCTTTCTCTCTCTAGATTCATCGTTTTCTCTCTCTAGAAACTTTATGTAGTTCCTTTTTTTTACCTCCATTTTTTTATTCTCAAATCTTTCTCTCTCTCTCTCTCTCTCTCTCTTTCGTCAACCGTAGGAACTGAAACAAAGGTTAGAGAGAGAAAAAAAAGGATTGCTGTTTCCTGGTTTCTTTCTCTGCAGAATCGAGATTACCAGAGGTTTTTGTGATCAATTGAAGGTATGAGCATTGAGTATCCCTAATTTCACTACTCAATTTCGCATTGCCATTTCTGTTTGTAAAATGTCAATGCGCATGAAGAAAGAGGTTTGTGGTGTTGAAAGATGATAGCCATGGGGAGTAGGTTTGTTGTATTATTGTTGTTGTTGTTGTCGTTGTTGCTTCAGAGTACATTGGAACAACGACAACCACCACCCGCCGTGGCCAGATTTAGGGCAGAACGTGCAGCTCTGCTCCAGCTTAGATCATCGCTAGGGTTAAGATCAAAGCAATGGCCTTTAAAATCCAACCCATGTTTAAATTGGGTCGGAATCTTGTGTCAAAATGGTAGTGTTATTGGGATCAATATTTCAGGGTTTAAGAGAACTCGAATTGGGAGAAGAAACCCTCAATTTTCAGTCGATGCTCTTGCCAATTTAACCAATTTGGTTTCATTTAATGCTTCAAGATTCACTCTTCCTGGTTCAATTCCTGATGGGTTAGGGCTTCAACTTCAAACCCTTCAAGTTCTTGATCTTAGGTTTTGTCAAATCTCTGGTGCTATTCCTTTTACTTTTGGGAATTTATCTAATCTCAATCAATTGTATTTATCTGATAACTCCCTTACTGGTACTATTCCATCTAGTTTGGGTCAGTTATTCCGCCTTTCGCTTCTTGATTTATCCAGAAATTCGCTCACCGGGTTAATCCCTGCATCTTTTGGATCTCTACTCAATCTTACTTCCCTTGATATGTCTTCAAATTACTTATCTGGGGTCATTCCTGAAGCTTTTGGGAACCTACCAAATCTTCGGTTCTTGAATCTTTCTGGTAACAGTCTTTCTTCTCCCATACCCACCCAGTTGGGCAACATTACTAGCTTGGTTGTTCTTGATCTGAGTTCCAATACTTTTTCTGGAACGCTTCCATCAGAATTCGCGAGATTAAGGAACTTGCAGAGATTAATTATCGGGAACAATCTGTTTTTGGGTAATTTGTCAGGTGACTTGTTTTCTCCTAGAAATGAGTTGCAATTTCTAGTTGTGGATCACAATAACTTCACTGGCAATCTCCCTGATGCATTATGGTCACTTCCTAATTTGAGCTTTCTTGATGCATCTGATAATAATTTTACGGGATTTCTACCAAATCTTAGTTTGAATGCTAATGTCACGTCTGCGGTGTTCAATCTCTCGCATAATATGTTTTATGGAGGCTTCACATCTGTTCTGAGGAGGTTTAGTTCCGTGGATCTTTCCTACAATTACTTGCAAGGCACGGTTCCAGATTACGCTCGTGGGATTGCGTCTTTAAATAGAAACTGCCTCCGGAACTCCACGACTCAGAGGAGTGTGCGAGAATGTGCGACATTTTATTCCAAGATGAATTTGCCGTTTGACAATTTTGGATTTCCAAATGGAACTATTCCGCCTCCTAGAAGTGGGCATAAAAGCAACAGACGAGTGATCATATTAGCAGCAGTCTTGGGTGGTGTTGGGCTCATTGTCCTCCTTGCGATTGTGGTGATACTGGTGATTGTATGCTGCCGAAGGAGACGTACAACTACTCAAAGAGGAACTGGGGTGGGACCTGCACCACCAGCCGCTGCCGGCCCACCGCCGATGGGAGTGTCTTTGGATCTTTCAAGTTTGGGAGAAGCATTCACTTATCAGCAGATTCTTGCAGCCACCCGTGACTTCAGTGAAGCAAATCTCATAAAAAATGGCCATTCTGGTGATCTTTTTAGGGGTGTTCTTGAGGGTGGGATACCCGTAGTCATTAAAAGATTTGACGTGCGTTCGGGAGCAAAGGATAGTTACATGCTAGAGTTAGATTTATTCAGCAAAATATCTCATCCCCGATTGGTGCCCCTTTTGGGACATTGTTTGGAGAACGAGAATGGGAAGTTTCTCATTTACAAGTACATGCCGAATGGCGATTTGTCGAGTTCGTTGTACAGGAAGATGGATTCAGAGGACGATAGCTTACAGTCGTTGGATTGGATAACCAGATTGAAAATCGCACTAGGAGCCGCTGAAGGGCTCTCTTACCTGCATCATGAATGTAATCCACCCCTCGTTCACAGGTATGATTTTGACATCTATTACTGACTCGGAATTGCTAAAAATACGTTATTTTAATGGTAAAACCACAATTTAATGTATTTTATATAAGGCTACTTGCTAGTTGCTACAAGATATGGACATATGTGATACAAATAGAAAGAAATGCCATTTATGTATACGATATTGTTATCGATAGCCTCTTTTCTTGCTAAACGTGCGTTATATCTTTTTCATGAAGCTCTTGCCCTTGGATTATATCACGAAATCTTATCTAATGTTGTATTTTTCTGCTAAAATATGATATATCAGTCGTATTCTTGATAAGCTTTCTATCATTGAAGTTATATGTGTATATTGACGTAGTCTTAGAATCAAGATTCTGCATGCCGTATTTAAAATTGGGCTTACAGCCGGCCTCCTTTTTGTATCGTTCTGCAACTTCTGTGTGTTTTAAATTCTTGGTTTTTTTTTTTTTTTTAATTGAAGGGATGTTCAAGCTAGCAGCATACTTCTTGATGATAAATATGAAGTGCGGTTAGGGAGCCTAAGTGAGGTGTGCTCTCAAGAAGGGGACAGTCATTCAAATCGGTTCACCAGGTTGCTCAGATTACCGCAGTAAGTACTCAGATACCCCTTTTCATATTAAAATCAAGAAAAGCGTATTTATATACGAAATGAAAAACTTGCATGCTTAGGGTATAATTCCACATCAAGATTTCTAGCTTGAAAGTTATTGTTTCATGTTCTTATCAGAACTCAATCTCAATTTTGTGACGTTCTGACACACACACACACACTCTTCTGTCATTTTCACGTTAAGTAGAGGTCTAGTCTGCCTACATCCTACCCCTGTACCCCATCTTCAGGTGGGGTATACTAGGTTTGTTTAGTTCGGTTTGGTTTAGTATACCTACGTTGTATGCGTTGTTATTAGCTCCAGCTTTTGAGTGGCAACTTAAAGTAAGTTGGAGGACATCTCCCATTTTGGTTGCATATCGGGTCTATTGAATCGGATTTTAAGTAAATAGTAATATGATTATTATCAAATTGCCAAATCTGATCAATAAGATCTTGGTAAATAATGGTTTTGGCGAATTACGAGTGTCATGAAACTGAAAAAGAAGTGCAACCAATATGGATGAATGTTTCTAGGAACGTATAATAGAGTAAAGCGTGCAACTCTAAAGAACGTCCTTTTAGAATAGGGTAATATCGGATATTAACGGGTTAAAACTTGAAATAGAATCAGATTTCCAGCTTTCAAATTCAAGATTTCAAATCTGATTCGATCTCATGTTTCTGTATAAAATTATTATTATTAATACAAGTGCATGTCCTCCGGTCAATAGTAGCTCGATTTCTAGAGTCCATGCACATATACATACTGAAGAGCTCAGAACTAGAATTGCATAAATTTGGCTAGTTTGCAAGTGGGAATGTTACGAACAATAGACTTTTGCTGTAGATTTCGTGATTCGATCCAGCTTCTTTGACTTGCTTATCGGTTGGATTATTGTGGGCACGGTAGAATAAGAACATATAAGAATTAATAAACACGTGATTTCATCTCGGATGCATATCGGAACTATGAAAACGACCCTCTTGAAACCATGCTTATCTTGGACGTCACCTTCTTGAAGAAACCGTCTCTTTCAATGTGAGAAAGGTTTAGGGAGTCTCCATCTTTCACAGTTCCAAGGTGTTATTAGGAGGTCTAAATCTAAGTCAACAAATAGATTAAAATTTTAACACAAGGTCGTATTTGGGTTTTCGACTTTTCATCGGATATTAGGTTTTAAATTGGATACTGAATACATAAAATGAAGCCAAACGAACTCGGTAAATCCAATACAGATGGACACAAAATACATGTATACCAGTTGTTGACTACTGGCACCGCTTCAGTCGTGTAAACCTTGTTTAAAACATTAATTATACTAGTTGCTATTTTTATGCATCACGTAACCGTAGCTTTTAAGTACGTAGTTGTTTCCTAAAAGTCGATTTTAGTATATTATGGAGTCTTCACGGAAACAGCGTCTTTACCCTTTGTTTGCGTACATCCTTCCCCAGACCCTACCTCTGTATGGGATATACTAGTATTTAAATTAATAAACAATTGCACAACGAATTGTTCATATTTGAGGTTTTAACCAAAAGTTCCTCTTGGTTTTGTGCAGGACATCTGAACAAGGTGCTTCCGGTAAGTTTCTTGATCTGCTAGTTTCTTGGTTTTGTGCCATTTCATTTCATATGTCGAACGTGTTGCCATATTTGAAAACGTCTAGGAGTTTGCTCGTTTTGAGAGTCGGGTTTCCAATACATTTTGTAACATATCTACTGAGTTTTATCATCAGATGAATAGACCTTATTTGGTTTTCATTCCTACCCGTTGTGGTGATCAAACTAAATTGGAAACGCCATTAAACCCGAAATAAGTTTCGACAATGAAATGGGGACACAATTTTAGAAATATGTAATTATTACACTTTTTAATAAACTAAATGACAATTTTACCCATAATAATAGAGGAGTAATGGATTTATTCTATCTCGTAATTAAGGGTAGAATTGGAAAGTATGAAACTTATTTTTGAAAGATGACACTTATTTTGGGACGGATGGAGTACAGTAAAACTATGCATCATTTTCTTCAATTTGACGCACGAAAATTGTGACGCTGAAGTTCTCTGGTACCTTCGATTTTTAGGTGTAGCCACTGCGACGTGTGCTTATGACGTCTACTGCTTCGGGAAGGTCTTAATGGAGCTTGTAACGGGAAAGATGGGTATCAGTGCATCAAATGATCCAAACACAAAAGATTTATTGGAAGGGATGCTCCCGTATATCAACATATACGATAAAGAACTCGTTACAAACATCGTGGACCCATCTCTAATCATAGATGAAGATTTATTAGAAGAAGTGTGGGCCATGGCTGTCGTGGCTCGATCTTGCCTGAACCCAAAGCCCACAAGGCGGCCGCTCATGAGATACATACTCAAAGCTTTGGAAAACCCATTGAAGGTGGTAAGAGAAGAAAGCGGCAGCTCAGCGAGGCTACGAACGCCTTCCTCCAGGGGCTCATGGAATGCTGCGTTGTTCAGTAGCTGGCGGAATAGCTCAACGGACATGGCGGCAGGAGCAGCGGCAGCAGGGGCGGGACCAAGTAGTCTTAAGCAGTCGGGGACGACGAGGTCCCATTCACAGGGGAGTGGTCATAACGGTGGTGGAGATCATTCGTCGTCGAATAGAAAGCAATCGAAGGACGTGTTCCCTGAACCGTTGGATGTGCAAGATGAAGATAGATCGGACGATGAGTATTGAGTGGCAGAAAAGATTGATTCTTTGTTAATAACGCAGAAGCAGGTAAAAGCACCCCATTAGCACACCATGTATAATCCATGGCAGGTAAGTTATTGATGATGATACAGAAAAGAGAAAGAGAAGATGATTTGTTTTTCTTGATAGAGAAGAGACATAAATTGCATGTGGGTGCGATATACAGTCGATAGGAAACACCGGTTTAAAACCGCAAATTGACCTTTGTTTCGGACTTTTTCTTTCCTTCCGGTTTTGTTGTTTAAATTTCTTGGGGGTTTTTTTTGGGCTTGTTGTTTATGGTTTAAAGCAAGCGATTTTTTTGTTGTAAATTGTAATGGATTTTGTTGTGATCCGAAGCAAATTGAGATAATTAGCACTTCTTTGCTTTTAGGAGCCGTTTGAACAGGTTAACAAGGTGCATTTGGTACATCAGATGGTACAATAACAAACTTGTGCCATTTTTAGTGGTACAATGGATTGGGACAGGACAAACCACCACAAACATTGGGGAGATAAGACAAGATTGGTAAATTATTAAGATATCTGTGTCAAATAGCTTCAAGATACAACCCAGAAACAAAAACATATGGGTAATTGGAGGAGGCAGAAAAAGGTTCCGGCTTAAGAGATTTCATGTGAAAATGCAACCAAAAATGGATGACGGATGTCCGCCGGATCATCTGCTCCTTGGTGATATTTTGTTGATTCACCTTTCGTGTATCATCATTACCATCCATTCCTGTTAGTGAACAAATAAACAGATTGGGTGGGTACATTAGTGATGGGCAAATTTGGTCAGCATATCAAGAATTTCTGTCTCAAAGTCATAATTTTGTTAGGATCATTTATCCACAAACTTACACAGAGGTTAGTGGTGGTCTACTATCTATCGTCCCTGCCAACCGGATATCGATTTTGGAACTCGAATGATTGAATTTGGGTTCTTCTCCAACCTGCACAAAACATGTAGTTGCAACCTTCAATCAGTCAAATGGCCTCATGGAACTAAAACTACACGCTTGTATGTGTATGTGTGAGATATATATATATATATATATATATATATCTGAGAGAGAGAGAGAGAGAGAGAGAGAGGGAGGGAGAGGGGACCAAGATATGCCATCTACTGCCTTTACAACTTCAGAAGAACTCATTTCAATGACCTGACCTCCCAAAATAATCTCATCCAGGATGGTATGTACCTGCAAGATTAATCAAACATGCAGTAAATAATGTTCAGCTAAAATGTATTTTTACTGATGCAGGGAAAATGTTGGTGTCAGTGAAAACCAGGGTAAGCCAGGAAAATCCGAAAATAGAAAGAAATGAACTAACGCCTGTCAGGAACAACTCAAAATAGAAAGAAAATGAAAAACGCTACAAAGAAAGGATCACAATGGAAATAAATAAAAATCATGGAAGGTCAAGAAATGCATTCCTAATTAATAAGCCCCATTCATGGCAAATCAAAGGTTATTAAGTAAAAAAAAAAAATATATATTCTGTCACCCTTCCCTATTTCCTTCATGTACCTTCAATAAAACGTCAACAATGTCGTATTCTTCTCTTTCCCACTATTATTCAACTTATATATCATATACGCACCCCCTAAAGGTATGTACTTGGCCATACTTTTACACATGACAAAATTTGATTGGAGGAACAGGAAAGGGCCAAGAGTGATGTAAGGTCATTTAACTAAAGAATCCTTTACCAAACACTTACCTGTGTAAGTGTTTACCAAGTCATGTTACCTTACCGAATGAGTAAGGCAAAAACCAAGAATCTTACCCGGTAATAGCAAGGAAAGGACCGAGACTCTTACCCGGTAAGTGAGGGCGACGACTCTTACCACGGTTAGCGCTTACCGGGTAAATTGTTGCATAGGATGCCGTTATTGTTAACTAAAATCTTACCCGATAAGCAAGTGATAGTATTAAATTTTACCGGTAAGCGCTTACCGGATAAGTGTTCTGTAAACGGCCCCTAAGTCCAAAGGATTTAAATCCCTTGCCTCGCTTACTCGAAACAGGTAAATATCCACCATCCGGAGGCTGGCATGACCCACAATAAGGATTGATAAACCTATTAAAGTATTAATTACTAGAAACCACATGTTAGTAGCAGTTTTCAGAAATCAAACTTCATTACAATTTCAATAATGTCTTTGATTTTGATACTAATACTCAAGTCTCAAACTTCATGATGATTCTCAGGGTAGGAATGAAGGAAAAGAGATATAAACCTTGTTGAAATTGAAGACTATATCAAGCTCACAAACGTTACTGAAACACTTGTCCAACGTCTCCACGAATACTGAAATTCAAGACATAAAGGAAACATTACCATCAGACATATCCAAATATATGAAAGTAACAAGCACATATAGAATTTGTTGGCATCTCTTTATTGGAACAATGAAATGCCGATATCATTAGGACTTTTTTTAAAGAGAGGATCCATTGAAATTGAAGATGACTGATACATCAAAGGCACGTGTAAGAAAATTACACAAGGATAGCAGATATAGCAACTAACACATAATTAAACCATAACGAGTTAAATGTGGGGTCTAAAATAAGTTTCAAAGAGCTGGTGGAATGCTCTTAAAACCAATGCGCTTTAGTGAGACAAAGGAGAGTCAAATTTCATGTTTAGGGGTGTTCATTAAATTAAAAAAGTTATGATTCTAAAATCTGAATAACCAACACCACATCGACTTTGCTATCAGCCTAAGATTAAGCTGCACAAGATTTCAACCTCACAAGAATAGGCTCCGGTTAGTGGCTATCAAGAAGGTGACCAAAGGGTTGTTTGCCCAGCAGCATCTGTTTACTGATAAGTCCTAGCCTCTCCGAAAAGGGTTCAAACCTCACCAAAGGTGAGAAGAGTTTTGCTGAATATTGTTATATCTATTCTGACAAGTAATTGAAAGAAATAGTTGAGCGGAAATGAAAAACGAGTATATAACAGTGATTTTTCTTTGGAAGACAAGACTTTCTATAACCTAGAGTTTGACATTTACCTAAATGAGTATGTACTTAAAGCGCAAACTAGAAGAAGATGAAACGTTTTTTGGAATGAAGGGTCTGCATTTATCATCTTACTTGTAAACTTAAGCTGGTTCAGTTTTAGTGGAGCAGATGCTTGTCTCTTATAAAGTTACAGTAATATGAACTTCATACAAGAATTAGAAGTTGGAAGATTCTTTTTCCCATCACATAGAGGTCATTGTATTTTTCTGTGCATACACCTCCTAATTCAAAAAAATTAGGGCTACTTCATGTGTTGCACATTAATGTGCTAAAACCATTGGTAAAATGGCCCATTGGTCAATTAGGCTCAACACTAAGCGGGAGGTCATAACTTTCACTCTTCCTGCTCCTTTTCATTGCCTAACAAGGATACTAATAAGGAAAACAAAATTCCAGTGCTAAGACATACCTTGCATAAGATCTAGAATGGCAAGCTCATTTTCAGAATCATCAAATATGACGATGAAGTACAGTGTAGCAAAAGTCTTGTATACAAGTCTGGTATCCTGCAGGCAGAAGGAACAAATTTCTGTAAACATCGAAGGACTTGAAAGTGGTAAGATATTAAACAAGCAAGTTATCAAGCAAGAATAACCCCCATGTAGCGTCTTCAATGCCATGACAAGTACACACGCGTTGGACACAACTAAGAAGTGCCAGCCTTATTCGATTTTTTGACATGGCATCAATATGACACGGACACTGATCTGTCTGTTGTGAAACTTCAAAGGTATATTCTTAAAGAAGTATTTATTTTAATATAGGTTTATAGATGGAAAATGAGAATACAACAGCAAGTCTAATGGTGGATCTCTACGAGAAGTCATTGACCTTGAAAAAAGTGCATCTTGTGAGGAGGTTGTTCCACCTGCGGATGGAAGAATGCACATCGGTGGCTCAACATCTTATGAACTCACCCGTATCATAAATATCAGGTGAAATTCACAGAGCATTGTTTTTGAAGATGATTTCCAAGCATTGATTTTGCTATCATCCTTGTCCGACAGTTGGAATACTACCATGGCAGTAGTTAGCAATTTAGGTAGTAGTAAACTGAAATTTGGCGATGTTCATGATTTGATTCTTTGCGAAGACATCTGACATCGAGAATTGGGTGATGTGTCAAACTGCTCAGCATCATTTCCAGAAATGAGAGGACAAAATTCTGATAGAGGAGGATACAAACACACAAACAACCTTGGGAGATCAAAGTATAGGTGGTCCAAATCCAAAAATCACAACAAGAATGTTGAGTATTGGAACTGTGTAAAAACTTGGCACTTCTGCAACCAATATAAGGATAAAGCAAAAGAGAAAGACATGGAGGCAGAGGCAAATACAGCTTCTACATTAGGAGGTGATGAGGCTCTGATGTTTTCATTGGAAAGCAAAGAAGAGTCCTGAGTCTTTGACTCGGGAGCATCATTTCCCGTCAATGGGCAAAAGGAATTTTTTGAAAGGTATGTTGCTAGAAATCTCAGTAAGATTTATCTTGGTGATGACTGATGACCAAGCGTGTGGCATTGTTAGCAGGGGCGCAGTGAAGATTAAATTAACTGGGTCGATGTGGGAGCTTAAGGATGTCCGCCACGTTCTCGACCTAAAGAAAAACTCAATCTCAGTTGGCCAGTTGGCTAGTGAACGCTGCACTACAACCTTCGATGGCAATGATTGGAAGATCTTAAGGGGAGCAATGATGATTGCACAAGGTAAGAAGAGTGGCACTCTTTATCTAACAGGAAGATCTTGTTGTTCAATTACAAAGATTCGGCCCCATGAGGGAAAAAGGGTTCAAAACTATGCAATCAAAAGAAAAGATTTCAGAACTCAGAGCGATCGAAGTTGACATGTGTAAAGATAGCATACTTGGAAAGCAGAAGAAAGTCAGCTTTCAAACAAGTTCCAAAACACCAATAAAGGAGAGACTTGAGTTTGTGCATTTTGACGTATGGGCCTTGGAGGCAACTGTATCCACTGGTGGAAAGCATTACTCTGTGACTTCATTGACGACCATCCATGTAAGGTATGGGTTTATTTTTTTCAGAACATAAGTCAGAAGTAGTTGACATTTCAAAAATAGGGAAAGTTATGGTTGAGAACGAGACGGAATGGAAGATAAAAAGGTTAGATCTGATAACGGTAGTGAATATGGAGGCGTTGGCTACAAAAAGAACTGTCATGAGCATGGAATCAAAATGGAAAAGACCGTATCGAAAACACCAGAACAAACTGAACATTGAAAGAAAGGGCCAAGACTCAAAGCATGAGCTTGCAATCAGGCTTGCCCTCCGCTTACTTGATCCACAGAGGACCTTCAGTACCTATGGAACAAAAAAATACCCAAGGAAGTGTGGAGCCAACGGGAAGTAGATATTTCACATCTAAGAGTTTTGGGGGGTATAACTTACATGCATATTAGTGATTAAGAGAGAAACAAACTTGATCCCAAATCAAAAGAATGAATGCCTGTTGGATATGTGAAGATGAGTTATCGTTTCTGGGACGATGAAACATAAAAATCATCCACAACAGGGATGTGATCTTCAATGAAAAGATTATGTACAAAGATAGACATACAACAACAAACCATAACTCTATAACTAGTAGGCCAACATTTGTAGAGTTGGATGACGTTTTCAAAGGCCATATGAAGAAGCAAACAATCGAGGAGGAACCCAAACAAAAGAACAAGTTGGCAAAGTAGCATTCAACAGTTAGATGAACAACAACCTTCTACTCCAACCCCTAAACCTCGAAATATGGCCATGCGTGCCTAAGAGAAAGTACATGAATTATTTATTGTTGACAGATGGAGGAGAATCTGAATATTATGAAGAAACCTGTGAGACCCATGATGCAAGCAAGGGGGGAGCTTGCCATGAAAGACGAGATGAAATCTTTGATCTCAAACCAAATGTGGAATTTAGTTGAGCTACCAACAGGAAAAAAAGGCACTTCACAACAAATGGGTGATGCGTTAAAGATGAACATGATGGTTTTAGGAGAATAATCTCTTGGAGATATTGATGGAAGCTTATTGAGGAATTATTAGAAGAAAGTTTCTATGTCATATAGTCTTTTTCCTTTGCTCAGGTTTGTGATTCCAAAAACATAAAGAAACCTTGGTGGTTTTGTGAATGTATTAATAATCTTCCTATTCCTTTGATAATATACGATCACAGCAGCCAGTGGACGTAGCCAAGTTTCGGGTGAACAGTGTAAAGCTTGTCTTCTTTACATTATTGCAATTAACCTACTCAATCATTGTAACGAGAAATTATGAAGTTATCCTTATTTCTCAACAATTCCCATCCTTCTCCATCTTTTTTTACCTTTTTCACTGATTACACCTTAACTTTTTTTTGTAAAAGATGTATCTTTATCTTTTATTTTATATAGAGAACTCTAATCCTTTAAAGCCTTCTCCCTTCTATGAAGTGATTAGATTTGATTATACAATATAGATTTTACCATCACGTTTTGGAACATGAAAATAATAGGACTTATGGTGTTGATAATCAAGTTCAAACACAATTTGCTTCTATGAACGTAATCATTTGTGTGCCCCCAAAATGTCTCAGTCTGCTATTCCTAACCTATCTATATCCTTGCTTCAACATTTCTAAAATTTTCTTGTGAAGAGAGAGGTATCCTGATGTTTTACTTTGAGATAGGACTTCCTGTTCATAGAAAATCCACTTTATGAGTGTCTAGTGTAATGTGAGTAATAATTTAAGGTTTTTAATCATAGAATGAGGTCATGACCAAACACATAACAGTATACTAAACTTTTCAGCCTAATTGTTAATCCTAATGAGTAAAAGAAAGGATCAACACTAGTAAATGCGTACATTTAGTTGTAATTTTGTGAACTACTGTTCTTTGCCCAAAGCAAGGGAAGGAAAAAAGGAAAAGCTACAATCAGGTCTAGATGTTGCATTACTCGGCATTAGATATGCTGTTGAAGTATTCATTACACACACACAGATAAAATAAATGAAAAGGTGAAAAATAATTGCTAGTGATCTGAGTCGGCTTGACCTAAATGGTAGGCAGAGATCAGACATGAAGTTGACCTCAGTGGTTCATGTATTACACAACATATCTTTAAATCACATTGTGCTTCATCTACAACTTGATTCATGGAGCATATGTGCTGGGCATCACCAGGTATGCACTTGTGCATCCCCTAGTTGGAATTAATGGATCCACCACTAGGCATCATGTCCTAGAAGATTATCTTGAGCAAGTAGTAGATGACAATTACTTGGGGCACTCAAACTTTCACTCAAGCAAGATCAATCATGTTCCATGATCTTATCCAGACAACTTACAAATATATAAAATACCAAAAGAAGCAGAACATACCGGTCCAAAAGTCGAATCGGCTTGAACAAAGTTGCTCACATTCTCAGCTCTACTGCATAGAACTGTTATCAAAAAAATTCAAACAAATTACCCTCAGTGGCCAACAAAAAGAAAACTAATCGAATGTATAGAAGATCAACCTTCTATACATCAATTCAGCCAAACACCACTCAGTTTTGCAACTCTATTGGTTGGGAAATGAAGATTAAACTCATATGATTTACGAAATATCCCTCAAACAAGCTTCCAACAAAACCAAGACAACACATCATGATATAGAGGATTTCCTAGTTAGAACCATCAACTCTTAAAGTGAATAGCCAACTACTACTACTAGGGTTACAAAGTCCACGAGATAGAATGTTACACTAATTTCAATATCTAATCCCTTATTTAGGCAATTATCGATCCGAAACTCGAAGTAATAGGCATTGCTTTCATTTTAGCATGAACAGAATCGGATCAGCCAAATTATCATATTTTCCCATCCACAACTCAACTAAAAAATATAAACGAAACTGATCATATTCACGAAACAGAAATTCGTAAGGAAATCTCAACCTCCATATATGCTCCGAATGATTTCTTGTTGTTTCTCCACGGGCTAACCTTACAATTCACATCACAATCGATGATCAAGCAATTGGCAGATAAAGTTTAGGAACTAACACTTTCTTTCTATTTAGGGAGATGAATAAAAATTACAAAACCTGATGTTCGTAGAATTTGACGAGGCGAGGCTTGCCTTGATCGTTCATTACTATCACCGCTCGTATCATCGCCGGCAATTACGGTCTTTCACTTTCCGGCACTGCTTTCCTTGTCGTTGCTGTGTTTTGGAAGCGAAGGAAGAAAATAAAATTCTATAATATTGGCAATATTTATTACAACACTCGTGCAATGGGAAGCCATGGATTTTAACTATTCCGAAATTTCACTTGTTTTATCGGTGAATATTTAACGATTAATATAAATTATATTTGGTCTTTATATATTAATAAAATTTAAATAAATAAAAGTTCTGATTTCAATTATAGTTTATTGATGAAAAAAATTATATGACAGTTTAAAATCCAATATATTTACAATTCAACAATTTAAACGACTCCACAAATATATTCGATTTACACCAAGAACAATTGAATGAGAGATGAATGATAGAACTTTTAATAATTAACGGTGAATATCAGTTTGAATATCAACATGGGGGATGAGAATAAGACATAGAGGTATGCGAGGATGAAAGCATGAATGAAAGGTATCAAATGTATCAGGGAACATAAAAAAATGTAATAATGTGCATTAGTAACTTGTACTATATATTATTTTAATCGTAGATTAAAAGATTTTAAGACTGAATGCATAAAATAGTAGTACTTAATGCATTATAAGTTATTTTTAAGACTTTGTGTATAAATGTATAGTACTTTGTGTATTAATTTTTTATTTTATTTTTTTTGATAAATCTGATTTATAAGATGGTATAAATTTAATAAGTTTAAATTTAATAGGTAATTCATTTAAAATGCAACAACCAACATCTAAATATTTGAAATAAAATATAAAAACCCATGAAAATTTGACATTAAATCATAATAAAGATATATATTGTCTAATTATAATAGAACATAAGATTCTAATTTATACCATCAAGGATTTAAATGTCAAGATTATAATTTTTTTTTTATTAATCTGAATATCCAATCCGTTGTGCGAGCCGACAAATCTCAGGCTACAATCTCCGGATAGTCTGGAGTCACCGCAATTGAATCTTCGTGGCCACAAAGAGATTTCTATTCCCCCTTAAATTTGAACCCAAGACCTCCAGACACTTTTGACTTTTGGAGCTCAACCTCAAACCAATCAGACACCACCTTTTGTGGTTCAAGATTATAATTTATATCAGTTAAAATTTTAAATTTCAAAAGTGAAATATATCCACAAAACATTAAATGTAAATAACTGATGTACTGTTATAATCGTAATCTATATATTTGTTTAGGGTGATAAACCATAACTTTTTTTTCCGGATGGATATCAAAAGAGATAAATTCAAATCAATTTTTTTAGGCATCAATAAAACAAGTAGATAAATATCATGAGAATTATAACCATAACAACCAGATCCATTTTAATCTTCTTGTCATGCAAAGTGTAGAAATATAAGTTAGATTTTTGGAGAGTTTAGAGGTGACTCATAATTTTTAATTTTTTTATAATTTACCGGCTTATCGCACCACATCAAATAGTATGGTGCGAAACCAGTTAAGGACCGTTTGACCGGTCCAGGTCCCAATCGATTCGGGCCGAGCCGGTCCCAAGTTGGTCCTGTTCCTAGTTCTCCGCCGTGCCAGGCCCATTTAACCATCTTTAGTTTGGTTTACGGTTTTCACTTAAACCGCACCACACTGCAATCCAGACACCCCTTAAAAGCTTTTAATTTGATAAACGAAAAGAGAGTTTCTAGAAGAAATTTTGTATTATAGGCAATATGTATGCCCAACTTTCAAAAATAGAACCAACTAAAACAAAATCAAAACAGGACAAATTTCATAAACATGGATAAATCCAGTTTCTCATCGAATTATACATAAATAACAAAGTCTATGAACTTTATGACCAAACATCGTCTGTTTATTTATCTCATCTGTCACAAAAGAAGGGAGGTTACACGAAAAAAAAACAAATTTACCGATAGAGGCTCTCGGATCTAAGATTCTCAGCGATCTCGGTTTCCCACCGATCCCCATTTTCAAGCAGCTTCTCCTTATCATATAGGAGTTCCTACAAGAATCACGACATCAGCGTCTATGATTTGGTTAGAGATGCAAGATAATTAATATGACGAGAGTCGGATGTTCCAAAGAACCTCGTGAGTTTCGGTGGCGAACTCAAAGTTGGGTCCTTCCACGATTGCATCAACCGGGCATGCTTCTTGGCAAAATCCACAGTATATACACTTTGTCATATCAATGTCGTACCTGTGAAATACATCCAATGAGAGAAGGTACGGCAAAACTAGCTCAGGAAAACTAGTTGTTGGTTAATAAAGTGATTGTTAGCTAATAAGCTAGCTGATAATCATGTTTGACAAAAGCTAGCTTATAAGCTAGATGATAATAATGTAAAATGACCTAAACGGACATGTTTAAAAAACTAATTGTAAATATACTCCAGAGCTTATTGAAAGTAGTGTTTAAAAAAACTAGCTTATGATGAACCAAACGAGACTTTTCCAGTAAGCTCAAAAAATAAGTTGGCTTATGATTGCCATACATGGCCCTAGTCCACTCAACCCATACAAGCCATTATGATATTTATATGAGGGGTGTTCATCGATTGAAATCCAATGGATTTAGGTGGATCCGATCCGATCCAATCATCCAATGAATGATGAATTTTCTCATCCTATCCAATCCAATACGATGGACGATTGGATCGGGTTAGCTCCATCCATTAGATATTACTATTGGTTATCCATTGGATTAGAATGGATATCCAATATTTTGATACAATTTTCAACCGTTTCAACTAACTATTCATATATTCTATTAATTTATTAGAAACCACTATGCATAAATGTCAACTAAAAAAACAATATCATAAAATTTTAATAAATTTCTATAGTTAATAATTGGATGGGAGTTGGATGATAATTGGATAATCATTGAATTGAATCAGGTCGGTTTTATTGGATTCTGGACTGTCATCCAAGAACCGGCCGGTTCAATTTGGATCTTGAAATTTTGGATCCAATCCAATCAAATTACAATTGGATATCCGATTATGGTCGTTTGGCTCTAATTGGATCTGTCGGTTTAAATTAGATCGTATGACTTTCTATGCACAAATTAAATCTATTCAGATGAGATGAGCTGAATTTTCGAAATGCTTGGCAAGTCTGAGCCAAGCTCAAGACTAGCCTAGTTCATATCAACAGCTACATAACCAATTACTCTTGGCCTTTCAAAGATTTTAGGGGCTGTTTGGTTCAGGTTGCGGGATGAAAATGAGAACGGAAATGATAATGACTAGGAATTAAAATGGGAATGACTTTTCATTACCACCAGTTTAACATGAAATGAAAATTTGGCTTCTAGGGGAATGAACTTATTATATTACATAAAACCAAACAGTTTCTTTTATTATCATTCCCATTGATTATTGTGTAATACCTCTAACCAAACACCTCCTTAGTAAAAATTTCTTTAAGGATGATTTACATGCATTTATATTTGAAGGGATTGTTTGATTATATGGAAGCCCATATAACCTAGCCAATGCTCAAGCTTACAAGCCCATAGGACTATAGGAGCCGAGCAAGGGCATAAACTTTTCAGGCTTGGCAAACCATGATCTGATCACAAGCAAAACCTAGAGCTGAGCAAGCTCAGGCTTGGATCAGCTCTATTACACCCCTACCAGCAAGAAATATCTTTACCTTGTTGTTCTGCGACTGCCATCTTCTCGTTCCTCTGCTTCTATAGTGATAGCTTGAGCTGGGCATATCTATAAACAACCGACACTTGATAAGTTATGCCAACAGTTAGACGTACAACAAATGTTTGAGCATATTAAGGGGTGTTTATAAGCAATCAATGTGATAGAATTATGCAACCATTGCGAGCAGAACCGATAATAGGCTTCTGCAGCTATCATTTGTAAAAACTAGTCCTATTAATGGTTCTATTTAAGTGAATTTCGTATGTTATTTTAAAATATTTTTGTTGTTTAATTTGTAGGACGTTTGATATAATAGATAATATGAACATTTATATTTTGTTTTATTTATTACTCGTCTACTCAATCTTATAGTCTTGGTACATTTGTAACAACAGGGCTTCCATTTAAAAAAAATTTGGAACACCCCAACAGAAAACTTTTTGTACAAGTTGTAGTGGTCAATTTTATACAAAGTGAAATGAAGCGAAGTGAATAAATGTAAATAAACAAGAGCTATCTTTTCAGCAACAGCTATGTTAACGGAAGTAGAACTTACAGCTTCACAAATTTTACAGGCAATACAACGCTCCTCTCCAGTTGGATAACGTCGAAGGGCATGTTCTCCTCGAAAACGAGGGCTTAAAGGACCCTTCTCAAATGGATAATTGATCTGCATAGCAATCCACTTCATATTAGATCACAAGAAAATGGTTAAGAGATTGCAATAAAAAAAAATTAATCTCTAGTACTTACAGTAACTTTTGGCTCAAAGAAGTATTTGAGTGTCAGAGACAGACCTCGAACTAACTCAGTTAGAAATAAGGTATTAATGCTCCGCTCGAAAACTGCATGTAATTAACCAACAACAACCTTAATTGAATGAACATTAAACAGAGAATATAAGACTACAAAAATGGCAAACCAAGCTCATGTTGGCAGTACCAGAACTCCAGTCTTTTGATATCTCCTTTGCAAGCTTTTCTCTTTCTTCATCATCTGTATTTGCACAAGACAGAAGTCAGGTCCATTTTTACTCATAGGTAAAAGGTAATAGCTTCTCTTTGAATAAGGCTCTAACTTTTAACATAAAGAATATTATCATAATCACTACATTGTGAGCTGAAACATTCAATGAAATTATTACGCAACTTAATCATAATGTGCCAAGTTTCTTGCTTATCGGTCTGGTAGATAAGTCAAACATTTGAAATAAAGCTAGTACATATTGGAATAAAGATATACAAAAGGGTGGAAGCCTATTGAGGCATTCAAACAATGAGAGAACATTAAAAATTTAATAATTAATAAATACTCCCCACATATGACAAAGAGAAGCCCCTCGTTCCTTTTTTTGCATTCTAAAAAATTACAATTACAAAACATTGTCGTAGAGCAAAAGCTCATCACCAATTATGGACACATTCCAAATCGTTGTATTTGTAATGACAATGCCACAACCGAAAGAACTTCTTAAACATCACCTAGTACCATAATTGGAAACATGAATCTGCATTACCTAGCTGCTAATTAAACAGGGTTCAGTTGAATGCTTTTGTGTGTCCAGGCAAGCAATTGAAAAACCACCGACCTGAAAACTTTTTTAGGTTTCCAAATCTAAAAAACAAGGTCATTCCGTTTATTCGGTTTCCGTATTCTTATCCTATGAACCTTACTTTTTTACTTATTTTTCTTGTTCCATGTTCACCATGTGCTATTCCTTATTCATGTTTGCTCACACATTCGCATAAGCCAGGGGGTCTTCAAGGAAGCAACCGCTCTACTCGTCGAGGTAGAGGTCACGTCTGCGTACATGTCACCTCTCCTAGACCCTACTTTCGAGTGGGATTTACTGGGTCGGTTTGGTTTAGTTATAATTATCCTATTGGAAGGGAGAGCCAACAAGTTTCAATGAGAAACACTTGCCAATCAACCAATTACATTCGATATTCAAAATGCAATCAATGATCCTCATATGCATATGAAACAGATTTCATGAGCCATTGTTAATTTATACATCAACAAAATTACTGATAACAAGAACACTCTGCTATATCACCAAGACTTGTTATGCTACAAGTGGAAGGCCAACAGATAGGTGGTAGTATGTAGTGCCTTAATCCATCAATATCTTCACTATTAAGCCAAAAGCAAAAAGAGCAGAAGCAGACTTCCTTTTGTACTCACTAAAATGACTTGCAAGCTTATACACATTATTCATCATCCTAAACAAGATCAAGAGAGAAGCTTGACAGTATAGCCTTCACCTTTATCGGTTGAAAATGAGTGCTTGGTTGCAAATGAGCGTGCACCAGAAATCGTCCCATGGAAGTTAGGGCCCTGCAAGGCTTGTCCTGCCACAACCTAACATCCAATGGAGAGCATATGTTCAGGTCTATCAGTATTACAAATGTAAATTGTTGGTGATTTTAGTGTAATCGGCCATTTGGTGCAATTGAGATTTACACGGGACCGAAGGGGATGGCAGGTCAAGGGGCTGGGGGTGGTTGGGCAGAACCTTGCGGCGTCCCACTAGCCGACTGGCAGGCGGGGTCAAGGGGCAGCGTCTCAAAACGGTATGCATCAGAAGCTGACACTAGAAGGACAACAGACTCACACCCAAATTAGGGCACAAAAGAAACTATATAACTTGTGACCTTCAAATCAATTTTACATCATACTATCAATTAGCAGAAACATCATTTTAAAACACTAAAAAGATCCGAAACAATCACAGATAACCAGATCATACCAAATTCCATTCAATCGAGAAACACGTAGAAGGATATCGAAACCCTAAATATCAATTTGCATCGTTCAAAGGGAAACTATTTTATCTGTCTGTGATAGAGAGATATACATGGTGCTTACAAGGTTTCGATAACGAAGAGCGGAGATAGACTTGCGAGCTAAGATGGCGGCCATTTCCCTGAGATGATTTCGGTGATGAACTCTCTCGTTAACTCAGGTGTTCCAAGCTTCTTCAGTTAGCTACGGCCTACGAACCAGAATTTTCTGTTCAGACCCCTATACTATTATGTAATTTCAATTAAACCCCCAAACTTTTAGTCTACACTAGCGTACAACAAGCACTGCGTGGAGTACTACAATCCATTTCATTCATGTTACTGTTTAGGGTTTATAGAACCCATTACGAATTACGAGAGGGCGCGAGAGAGAGGGGATGGCTTCGGTATGCAGATCACCGTTAATGTCTGGTGCGCGAAAAATTGCAGCTCAAACGAAGCTAACTTCAAGAACCCTAAACCCTAAATGTGTGCCCATTTCTCCATTTTCATCATCTACAACAGCAGTCCCTCGTGCAGCTTCAAGGTAGATAGATATTACACATACAAAAACGCACAATAATGAGCCCTGTTTGTACGGAATCGATTTAGACTTTGTGTTGTTCTTCAGGATTGTTGGAGCATTGGGAATGGTGGAGTCCATGATGCCTCTTCACAGCGCAATTGCATCTGCTCGTCTCAAGTCGAGTCTTGCTGTTAATTCCACCTACTGGAGCTGGCTTTCACAAGGTACTTATATAATTTTCTTTTCTTCAAATCGTGTTCTATGCGACAATTTGAGCATAGATTTTTGGGCGTTTTCTGGGATTTGATTGTTAGATAATAAATATACTTGCAACTTCACGATAATCTGAGCGATATCCTGGAAAAATTGTATCTTTTTTGTGTTCATAACTAGCTCAAGATTCACTTGCTGCTGGTTCTTGATGCCTGTGCTGTTAGTTATTTCATATTTGAGCTTTTAGTTTCTGGGTTATATGTTGTTCTTGTACTCATACATGACGACAGTGAGTTGAGATTAAAATTTCTAAAAATTTGATCTAACTATCTAAGTATATAAGAGAAGTGGTAATTACCATTACAGATGTTAATGGGCAACAGTTCTTTCCAAAGGCTCTGTTGAAATATAATACCCTCGAGTTCCGTAGCCTCAAAGTTTGAGATCAATGGCAAAGTGTGTAACGGCTTTTGGGGTATTAAGTAAACCAAACCAAACAAACTCGGTATATACCACCCCAAAGTAGTGGTGGGGATGTATGCAAATCTGTCTTTTGCCCCAAAGGGTAGAGCGGTCGATTCTGTGGAAACTGCGGCTTGTGCAAGAGTGTGAGTGACAAGGGAAGAAGAATCGATGCTAGTAAATATTAGGCAGCAGAAGAGGGAAAAAAGGAGTGAAAGAAATAGACGCAAAGAAGCATAGAAAAGCTAACCTTCATCCAACGAAGGTCTCGAGTACCCTATCTCGACCTCTCTAGCTCCCTTCTTCCCATCCACACTCGTTACAGGTCCCTACACCTACTCTACGGTCCTAGTTTTGCATCTGCAAGAACTACTAGCAGAAGTCATATCATGGGAAATGCCTATGGCTGACATGTCCATCTTCAGTTGCTCATACTACGTCCTACCCAGTCTGCCTCTCCACGGTGGTCCTTTTGTTGGGTATTATTGCAACATTGCCTATAGATAAATCCTTAACTTTCGACCTTTTTTTAAATTAAGGTGCCAAATTGTAGTTTAGGTTCATGTAACAGATGAGAACGGAGGGATCTGTGGACTACTTTTTGTTGATTAATGAATAGTTAGTTATCATTTGTACATGCATAAGCTGGTAGTTAGCACATGTTTAGTTGTTACTAAGCTTGTCAAAAGGGTGACCTTTGAGACACTTTGTACCTTACATTTTGTTTCGACTCTGTTTCCTGGACTTGAACAGTCAAACCTCTAAACCAAACTAAACAAACCCGGTATATCCCGTTCAGAGCAGGGTCTGGGAGAGGTAGGATGTATGCAATCCTGACCTTGGCCTCCAAAGGGTAGAGCGGTTGTTTCTGTGAACAATCAAACCTATAACTATAAGTTACTTTATTGGTTGCTTCAAGACCTAGCTGTGTTACCGAAGTTGTTTAACTTATGCAAATACCTATAAGTGTAATAAGTGGTTCCCACCTTGTAATTTGGGTGCATATCCATATCTTGGGGTTCAAAACCAAATGGTCTACCGGTTGTTAAATGTGTGTATACCTCTTTTAATAGCGCCAAAATTTGCAAATCTCTTGGATTCAAATCAATATCATTAATTTTTTGCTACGGTGATTGGACAAAAGGAGCATTGCTCTTTAGATGTCCCTGGGGATATTTGTTTTCGCCAATATCGACTAGTAAGCATAGCGCGTTGTCAGATTGTTTCTGAGTAGCAATAATCAATGTTGCAATGTGTTGCAAATCTGATTCTAATGTTCTTCTTTTTTCCCACCGAAGGTCCCCCTTTTGTAACAGGTGTTAAGTTAAAGGGGGGTCTATTTCATTGATTGATGCAATTGACCAAGAATCTGTCCTTTGCCGAAAGCTCATAGGGTAAAAAGTAAAATTGCACCATCTCTGTAATAGGTAAATGCCTCGTTTAGAAAAGAACCAAAATATTCTAACTATTAAACATCACAATAGTCCTTCTGAAAACACACATCCAAACACCCCGAATGTTAGACCAGATTAAATCGTATATTTAAGAATGATGGTCTATTACATTTTCACGAGTCGGAGATCTTCACAAAACAGTCGTTCTACTCCTTGGGGTAGAGGTCAAGTCTGCGTACCTTACCCCCAGACCCCACCCCTAGTGGGATATATTGGGATGGTCTAGTTTGGTCTATTACCATGTGCTATATTCAACCTGTATTCTAACTTGTGGTTGCTGCTATAGGTCTTGGAACATCATTGTGACAAGGTTTGCAAGGATGAGCATATGGAAGTTTGCTTCAAGTTATGAATATTAAACCTTTGATCTTGCAGCTTGTACCAAATCTGCTTTAAGTGGTACCTCCCTTTTTTGTATTTTTATTGCAAGATTTGCCCGTTGTCCTTTACTTTGGGGTAGAAAAAGGTCTGCATACATCTCACTCTCAGGCCCTACTGACTCTGGGTCGATATGCTTTGCTCATAAAAGTCTTTTATGCTATGAAACATCATTCTCCCCAATAAGCGTTGTTGGTTTTGTAAAGCAAGTCGAGTTATTTACGTTTGATTTGAAAATTTTCCTTGTTTATTTGATGCAAATATGAGGAATACTATGATCCTTGTGTTTTAGTTTGAATTTGAAATCATGTAGCGATCCTTCTGTTTAAACTCGTAGAGGGACTCGAGCGTGATTTTTGGCTTGTTATGTCGATGAATGGGCTGTATTTTTCTGTTGGATGCTTATCAATATGTGGGAAAGTTTTGTTTGGTTTGCATGCGTAGCTGTAAGCTCTTACCCGTGTTCAAAAAGGCGCGACATGGCATAAGATACGTTTTCGTTGTTATGGTATGATCTATAGCGTTTCTGTAAGGCGTGACTCATGTTATAACGTTCCGCAGCGTACGTTTCTTACAAGGGCATGACTTTTAGAAAATACTTTTTTTAAAATTCTCTTAGCTTGTGTTTTTACACTTAACTTTAGATTTTATATTTTTATAGATTTATTTAATCATGTCACTCGTAGTAGCACGATTTCATCCATGTCATTGACTTATGATTGAAACAAAGTTGTAAAATAACCACAAGGGTGGTGCCTGATTGATTTGAGCTTGGTTCCAAAGGTCAAAAGTATGAGGAGGTCTCAGGTTCAAATCCAATGAGGAATAAAAATTCCTTTGTGGCCACAGAGGTTCAAATGCGGTGACTCCGGGCTATCTGGCATCTGCAAAGCAGGTGGTCGTCTTGGGATTAGTCGGCTTGCATAGCGGGTTGGATATCCAGGTTAAAACAAAGTTGTAAAATTAGTTTTATCTCTAATGTTTAATCAAAGACTATATTTTTAATAATAATCTATATACCAAGTTCTTTTGATTCGGTTTAAAAAGAAACTTGAAAATAAGTCAAAAGCATTGTTCCCTAAGACATGTAACGGGCAAGTGTACTTGGGACAAATGTATGAACGGTCTAAAGTCGTAATATATATGAATGTTAACGCTCTCTTTACCAAACACTTAGGGGGCGTTTGATTCGTAGAATGGAATTTGATGGAATTGGAACTCATCAAATGAATTTGACTTTGAATGAATGGAATAGAATTTGATGGAATTTGACCATGTCTTGTGATTGCGTTTGGTTGCATGGAATTGGAATGAAATTCTTAACAGATTGGAAATTTTTTGTTTGGTTTACGGAATTCAACTTTGAAATCGGAATTAATTATCAACAAATGATCTTTTATGATTTTTGAATGACGGAATTGGACTAGTGATATCGATAGCTAGTTATCTTGAATTGATTCCTTGATTACATATGTTGTCTATCGATCTCGTTTGTGATGGAGAAATTACGAGAGAGAGAGAGAGAGAGAGAGAGAGTATACCAGATGGAGATCGAACCAAAGATCAATTAAATGAGATAGTAGATGCAACGTTGAATGAATTTGGATTAGAGAAGGAATTTGTTGAAAGGAATTAAAATCCAAGGGTATTGTCGTGGAATGTAAAATCCATGAGTGAAGGAATTTATTGGAATTGAAAAGATTCCATCATTTTTATTTCATGAACCAAACATTGTATTTGGAATTTGGTCAAATGATTTGGCCATTCCAATTCCTTTCAATTCCATTCAAATCCGTAAACCAAACAGCCCCTTAGAGTGAGCATTTACCGAGTGAAGATGACAAGGATCGAGAATTATACCAGTGAGTAATAACTCTTACCCAGTTAATAGTTACGGAATAAAAAACGTTTATCAATAATCCATTTTAATATTCAAGAATGTTATCCAATAAAATAAACCGATTAAATGGTCCCTGACGTGATCAAATTATAATCAGTAATATTAGCGACCATAATTTTGCTCGTTTGAACGTAAAGCCAATAAATTTGGTGGATTATATAAATGACAAAATATTAAATAAAATAGTCAATTAAAAAATATAATAATAGGAAATAAGTCTTTTCAACCCAAAAACCATAACCAACAATTGAATCAAATTGGGCTTGTTCTCCACATGGGCCAAACAATATAACGGTATAGGGTCATTCATTATTTTTAAGGTTAAATGTGTGAGATAATAACCTATTTTTATAAAAAAAATATTATAATATTTTATTTTTATTTTTTCTTAATACAACAATGTACTTTTAAATTATATTTTTATAAAGGCATCGTAATTTGAAAAATTTACCCATTATAACAATGAGTAACCTGTTATCTTTTAAATCGGTTTTACTTTTTTTGTTTGCTTGACTTGAATGAGGTGATGTGTATGACACATCATTTTTTATGACATGTTTAAAATAAATAAATAAACCATATTTTTTTAATGATTTTCATTTTTCATTGGTACCATTTAAAAAACAATTTTTTTGACTTTTTCTTATTAATTTATATGCAAATTAATATTCTGGACTATAATATTTCTTAAATAAATATGATATATTA